TAATTTATTTTCTGGTGCTTTCACTTCCAGAGACAGTTGTAAGCACTGTGTAACTGTCTCGAGGGTAATTGAACAATCTAACACAACGTGGTGCGATCATCCCCCTTGCGCGGAGTGAGGATTCTCCACCCGGCACAACATGATCTACTCGACCACCATAGGTAAAAAACGGTAACCTGGTTGCCGAGTTCACGAAGTGAATTGGCTTGTTTTTCAGCGTCGTTGCCAAACGACGAAAACGCAACCGCAATGGGAAACACCAGGGGGGGGGGGTGGAATAGAGGAGAGGGGTGAAAAAAATAACATGATACAAGTGGAGGGTCACCTCGTCTTCACGCTTCCGGGTGGAGAGACACAATCAGTTGGATTCAACTGTATTGACATGCAAAGACTAGGATCACCGAAACAGGATGACACACGGTTTCCCGAAAAGAGCAAGATGTCACCCCCCCACGTACCGTAGCATCACTCGATATGCATCACATATGTACTACCGGTTGTTTCACGATATTGACGCACACACACGCGGTGTGTTTCCTGGTTGAGCACACGGGAGCGAGACGACACCAACCGCGTTCGCTCGTGTTTCTTTTTTTTCACATTAAACTCGTGTCAGTTGCTAATCCCAAAATCAAGCAAAGACTCGGTCCGTGGTCACAAAAATGCTAGAGCCATCAGAAGACCTGAAGAACACACACACTATTAGCAAGGAAAGGGTACGCTCGTGTGCATCATGTCGATTCAACTCACTTTCTTCGCCGGGTGTCAAAGCCCAACCAATCACGCACAAATATCGAAGTATCAAACCATCGAAAATAAAAGGGGACACATATGCATGCATCCAATCGTGATTACAGTACGTCCCGGTCACTTGACAGGATATTATATTATCTGGCGTTTTCGGGGTATATCAGCGCATGCATGTCGCCTAAATTTCTCACGCCGTGCATCCGAAAGCTGTCGTGCCAAACATAAATGATGTATTATGCACGAAATGATCAACTCTTCTTTACATATGGTCTGTGCTGCCCACTGAGGGGAGAGATATAACCATACTCCCTGCCTACACACGGACGAGAGAGATGACCAACCCATTACATTTGAACACACGAACACCCACATATCGGTGATGGAACCTCAACCACACGCCTTACCTACGACCGACCACGTCAGGAGGCAATGATGAAAGAATGTTCTCCCGTGCCCTTCGCACATTTATGGGCATGAAATTACACAAAACTGGGAGACCACTCCCGTGTGCCGCACAATTTGACACAGATGCATGCATATGCATACCAAACTCAATTACTTACCAAATCATATTCCTCGCGTTAAATGCATACCAAACTGGAAATACACGTGTAAAATGGATGGAGATCCACAACCAACAGGGTGCCACACATAAAACACCCAACTAACTAACAGCCCAACACTTTTCGTCTACACCTTCCCAACATAACATATATAAGACACACAACACAGCTACCAAACTGTCTTGTTGAGCCTGTTATCCGCAGGGGAGATGTCCATATATGCTGTCTGGGAAATCGTGGACACACAACAGGTAGTTTTCTTTGACGCTATGATTCCATTGCTAATCTGTCTTTGACTCTTTTCTCTGACGGAAATGGACTCGTTGTGTTGTATTTGGAAAAATAAAAAAAAAAAAAAAAAATCCCTCGGTGTGTGCCACATAGCAAGCCAACAGCCAATCCCCGATCTACTAGGCCCGACCACGAGATGACCACCATTCGTCAAGAAGCCAAGTCTGGCGTACGGCCGTCAAGTGCGCCGGGTGCGAGTGGGCGTTGTGCTGCGTGTCTTTTTTCCCCAACGAAGTTCAAGTTGCGGGGCGGGCCTCTGTATCACGGGCGGGTAGACCATTACCCCGGCAATTTTTTTTGCGGGAAGCGAAGCAATTCGCAGCGCCAGACCAGCAGGAGTAACGATTCAAACTAGAACCAGGTGGTCGAACTGGGTCGCTGTTGCATAACCCGTTAGCTATCAGCCCGTGTAATCGTAGCACCGCGATGTGTGCGCTATAAAGAATGGATGAGTGAGGTGGTTGGCAGTTGACAGCAAACGGTTGGAGGCTCGTTGCGTGCACAGCAGTATCCCTTAAAAAGACCACCTTTTTTGTTTGACAGATGGATTGAAGTTGATTGAAAAAATATACGGTATACCTATATGCTGTGCTGCGCTGTTTGGCGCGGTGCCTGCAATCATTTTCCACACCATCGTGTATGTATGCGTACAACACACAGGAGCCCGGCTCTGTTGCTATAAAGCGTAGGGAGACAAGCACGTCACGGGTGATAGCGGGTCTGGGTTGCTGTAACCTTTCGTGTTCCCAGCAAAACGCAAGCGGGGCACTGGGCATGCATCCATCCATGACGTGGAAAATCCAACATATTACACAAGATAACACATCCCCTTGATCGATTTTTCGAAGCTGGTACAACAGAAGTAGTTCGAACTTTGACCACATCCGACCCCAGCTCTCAACGTTCGATCGACTGCTGATGTAACAAGGCGGCGAGGAGGAATGCACAACATCACGTTTGTACCCCAGGGGGGGGCACGTATCCTCTTCCAAGACCTCTCTCCGGATCTCACCGCTCTGCACCCCCCTCCATGCGTGCGTGGTGGTCTCCGTGCAGTGTGCTTCCAAGACTTCCAATTCCAAGACATAAAAAACGCACGCCCACCTTCAACGCCTCTCCCTGAGACAACCGATCTCTGCCTGCGGCCGTGACGGGTCGTTGCTGCTATCACACCTATCCACTGCTGCTGATGGGGCTGGGATTATCAATGCTGTCTATCGCCTGTTGCTCTTTCCTGTGCCCACACCATCTAGCTGGTGCTGTGTGGAAAGTGGAGATGGAATGGAGATGTGCGTGTGCGGTTCGTCCGATGCCAACCGACTCTTTCTACCGTTGGATGCTTGCATGGCATACACATGATCGGAACGGATTTTTTGGTTTTCTCTGTGATGTCATGTGATGCCATGAACTCTCAACGGAAAGAAACTAAAAACAATAGCCAGACACCAGCGTTTCCGCCGACACTACGAATCGCCTCGCGCTCGAAACGGTGTGGTTAGTTTCCAAGGCATCATCTCCGGTCTCCAATTCTCAAAACTTATCTCAACGGTCGAACGGTCGAACGGCTGTAAAATGATGAACGGTTCGTTGCTGGGCTTCAACGAGATGTTGTCAAACTGGGAGCTCCGCCTCCCACACGCCCTCCCCCGCCGCGAAAACCGGGGGGATTTGTCTTCCGATTTTCTGGCCCTCTCCCCCGTGGTAGACGGTCACACAACAGATAGTTTTCCGAGGTGAGTTGTTTGTGCTGCTGGTCCTGGCTATTATTGCGAATCGCTAATCTTGTAGACTAGCGCACAGATTGGTGAAGTGAAGTGCGCTGGGGAGGACAGCGAACAGGGAGAGCAGCCACATGACCTCGGTGAGCCTGCACCGCAACGATTAATCGCCCGAGGCACGCGCATGTATCTATTCATGCACGCATGCATGTTGCCGGAACGACACTATTCTACACTCATTCGTTCATCTTGATGCAAAATGCCCGTACTCGCACGCCAGAGTGTGTAGCACCAACGATAGTACCAACGAGTGGAGAGTGACGCAGGAAGCAGGAAGCGGTGTTATCATGGTGGTTGCGACACATCGATCGATGGTCACATCATCTTGAGATCGGATCGTGGCCGTCGTCGATCATAATGATCAGAGAGCAGTGGCCAAAATCGGGTACACTCGGTCCAACCACGGCCATAGTCGGGTATCCCTAAAAAATGCTGCTGAAAGGGACCGCATGACACCGTCTGATTGGCCGACGCCCGCCCCTACCCGACCTTGACCATCTTTCCACCGGGTGCACCCGTGTTAAAACAGCTGAAAAGACGCTCATACAAAACGCTCATACATCTCTCACCTTCGTAGCTGAGTACAGTTCGTGCGTAGACCGGTTCCTCGGGGCTGGGAATCAGTATGATGTAGGGGGGTTGCGCTCACCTGTCTTCGTTGTCTCTCCCGGACGGTATCCATTCCTTGTACGGTATCAAGCAAATAGTGTCGCAGCTTGCTGACGACCTTCGTGCGAATGATGACTGTGAACACGTACATCTCATAGCATACGGTAATAACCCACCATCCCATGTTAGCATGACTTAGTTAGGCATGCGATAGGACCCACCATCCCATGTTAGCATGACTTAGTTAGGCATGCGATAGACATGTTAACGGGTGATAACGTGCACTTTAACAGGCTTTATTATCCTCCGTCCACATGGGGGGTGTTAAGTAAACACCGGGTGGGTAGCAACGTTCGCGAAAACGTGCCACAGAGAAACACGTTCAAGTTGTCTCTTCTTCGTAGATGCGGCATAACCGCCGCCTCTTCGAATCCTCTAGAGGGCAAACAGGGAAGCGTCCGATACTTCAATTCCTGTTTTATGGCCCCCATACCCCTAGCGCCGCGACCACCGGACAGTCACGGCCCATCATAGTATTTTGTGTAGATTCTACGCGCAGCCGCCAAAACACCCGATCTTGTTGTCTTCACATTAAACCGGATGTCAGTTGCTAAATGCCAAAATCTAGCAAGACTCTCAACCCGTGGTCACGAAAGTGCTAGAGCTATCTGAGGATCTAAAGAACACGCACACATAAAACGAGAAAAAGGTATCCAAGAGCCCGAAGCGGTACACCTAAAAATCCCTGCAGCACCCTGTGCGTGCCCAAAAACTAAACTGCACGTCCGTCCCACCGTTCGACTACATACAGTAGCATCACTCCTGTCCCACTCTATACCAAAACGGAAGATTGCCGACTACAGCATACTGCTGTCNCAATCACCCGAATCTCTCCCGATCGTCTGTGTTAGGCACTGCAGTGAAAAATATCGACACTAGCTAAGAATCGTTCCACATTGAAGGGGTCTTCCCGGGTTAGCCACGCCATCTCTGACGGGTCTCTCTACGAAACCGGTGACGACGTCATCACACAAAACCAACACGGAAAGTCAGAAAAAAAACGAAAAAAATTGACAACACAGATATAAATGTTTGTCCGTGCGCCACGGGTCGATGTCGCCCGCTTTCTCCCTCAGTGCACTCAAGGTTCTTGGTCTGAAAAAAAAAAAAATCTCGCGCCGAAT